GGGCCGTGAGATTTTCAGATCGGATGGCAAGGAGCCATATGTATATTCGAAACCGGAGCAAAACCTCGAGAAGTGGGACTTGGCCCCAGGGGCCGTGTCCCACTGGCAACGTTGAGCTCTACCTCAACGCCTGAATCTGGAGGCTTTTGCCGAGATGTGCAGAAATGGTGTTGAGTTTCCTGAACTGCACGTCTCAACAAACACGTCCAGAGGTAGCTCAACGCTGCTAGTGGGACTTGGCCCGGGGCCCTCTTAAGCTGCAACGAAGGGTGTCTTTTTGCAACGAAAGCCGTCTAAAGTTGGGCCCCGCCAAATTCGCCAATATTTTTTGCTGTGAAACGACCGCGGCGCCTTTTTTTTTTTTTTTTTTTGACGGGSGGGCGGGGGGCCGTGGAAAGATGTAACCTTTATTATCCAAATCATAATAGGAAAAAAAAAAATAAAAAATCATAATAGGAATGAGGCCGGGGAACTTACAATACAACCCGGCGGCGCTCTATTTTTGAAACTTACCCAAAATGATATATTATGATGTATATAATTATGAATGTATGAAGTCAAAAACAGTACAGTAAAATGATATATTATGATGTATATAATTATGAATGTATGAAGTCAAAAACAGTACAGCTAGGTCCTTCGGGACATCCGTTAAAATTGGAACGATACAGAGAAGATAGATTAATGCAAGGCCCCTGCGCAAGGATGACACGCATCAATCGAGAAATGGTCCAAATTAAGTAATAATTAAAAAAAAAAAAAAAAAAAAAAAAAAAAAAACAGTACAGTTAGGAAGCAAGTTTTCCATCACAATTGAACCCACGGGGCAGTATGGTGAAACACATTGACAAGGGACAGAAAATTGTGCCATTGGGTTAAACTTTGTGGAACGGGTATAAGTTGTATAACCACTGAGAAGGATCAGTGACACGAAGAAGAACGGCCGCCCCAGTGCGCACAGTGCACACCACACTATACTGAACTAATGGAATCAGTGATCTTTCAGTGGCATCACGATTATATATATATATATATATATATATATATATATATATATATATCGTCACAAACAGAACTGCCCGGTAAACCGTAGGCAGAGAGAGAGAAGAGGACAACAAACGAAGGTAGATTATCATTTACAGTGTAATCAGTGAGGGGATTCTGCAGACTGTTGAGGGTTCAGCCTCCTGATGAGTCGGTGAAACTCCGACGAAACAGTTTGTCACAGCCCCTCGTTTGTTGTCCTCTTCTTTCTCTCTGCCTACGGTTTACCGGGCAGTTCTGTTTGTGACGATATTTATTGTCATATAGTAAACTTTTTCAAAGTTCAATTCTCAATAGATATTTTAATCTATTATTCAAAATCACTTTGAAAAGAAAGATAGATTCAGAATTAGATAGATACTATATATATATATCAGCCTCCTGATGAGTCGGTGAAACTCCGACGAAACAGTTTGTCACAGCCCCTCGTTTGTTGTCCTCTTCTCTCTCTCTGCCTACGGTTTACCGGGCAGTTCTGTTTGTGACGATATATATATATATATATATATATATATATATATATATATATTGTGGACTAAGGAACCCATGGACATCTAATTCTCTATGAATTCGGTTCGGCGTGCACTTTTGCTCTTTTATGTATCTCTTCCTGTCACTCTCTCTCTGTCCGCCTCTGTGTCGAGATATCTCCTGGAGAGGAGAGGAGAGGAGAGCAGAGGAGAGTAGGGGAGAAGAGAAGAGAAGGTGGCAAGAAGCGGAGGGAAGAAGAAGAAGGAAGATAACAGAACAGAAAGGCTACTGACACCACACCATGTGGTCTACCACGTGGTTTTGACTCTTCTGTTCCTCACCTCGGACTCTTGGAGTCCTTGTCTACTAGCGCATTTGCAAATTGCAAATTTGACATTTGCAAATTTGAGATCTCTGTGCGCTAAGCGGCTAAGGTTCCAATGAGACTGTCTGCATGGATCGCTCTGTGAGTGCATGTGTGAAATTTTGGAGAGCAGCCTTGAAGATTGTATTGGGCCATGCCCTCACGACCAAGGGGGTGCTCACAGTAGTGTACGACAGTACGGGCTGTATTTGGGGCAACTTTCAGTCTAGATGCAGCAACAATGACCGCACGTTGTAATAGGGCCAAGAACATAGGACTTTCAAATGCAATGCATTGAGGAATTTCGAAGTGGTAGTGTGAGTATGACATTGGTTGCTCCCCCGTTTGTGTTTGGAAATTGGAAAGCATGAACCTGTTCATAATCACCATCATCAAGTCCATCCTCTGTTAGCAACTTAGCACCAGTGGGGCTTGGCTTCGTGGGGCAGGTCCGTCTGGTTCTATGTTAATGCCAAGAAGGAATGAACCGGGCCACTTTTTCGGATATTATGCAGGCACATAGCTATGTGTGCCCGTATGTATATTTGTGTACTTGCCTAATTATATAGAACGATGCATCCGTGAATAATATGTATGTTTTTTTCACATGAACGCTTCTTTCCCCTTCTTCTTCTCCTTCCTCTCCTTCTTCCCCCTCTTCACTTCTCCTCCTCCTCCTCTTTCCTCTCCTTCTTTCCCCCCCCTCACTTCTCCTCCTTCTCCTTCCCATATCTCCCCCCCCCACCCCCAACATCTTCTTCTTCTTGGGAAAAGTCATAAAACCTCCCGGCGCTAGGTCCCACTTGCACGAATTAAGAGATACTGACCGTAGATAGCAAAGATCAACGACCGAAATTTCCTAATTTGCGCAAGTGGGACCTTGCCCCCAGGAAAAGTTGTTGATCCCCCCTGTGGAAAAACCTTTGTCAAATTTCCACCCGAAGATGGAAGCGCGGGGGAGGTCCCCCAGAAAAAAAACTTTTTGTCCTTCTTGCACCCCGGCTGGGCCAGTAGATCACTTTCCTGCCAGTTTTGCACAGCGGGCCCTGCTGACGCTACCGGGGGCGGGACCCACATGCGCCGTGTAGTCGTAGTTTTCGACAGTGTGCAACATGTGGGGGGCGGGAAAATCCGGAAACCTGAACTTGTCTGCGCCTGCTTGCCCCGCCGTCCTCATCATGTGTCAGCCCTCGTGGCGTCCCATGATTGGTGGCCAACCTCAATTCGAATCATCTTCCGTTTTGTTTTTTGTGTCCTGCTATGGGAGCCGAAGGGGTGGGCCACTTGGTGCTCAGCACACAGTGAGTGACCGTGCGGACTGGGAGTGGCAGTGTTTTGCGTCCCATCTGTGGCCATTGGAGAGGGAAAGGGTTGACCGCATGGGACAAGGAGGGGTTGTTCTAAGGTTTCAAGCTTTCCACAATTAGCCTCTATCCCCCCCTTCAACCAGCGGGCGGGCCGCCGCCTCCCCCACCTACCCGAGACGTTAGTGTCATCACACGCCCAACGCAAATGTCACGATTGAAACGTTCTATAGACCTCGTGTTCTATCAGCGAGGAGTATCCAGGGCCCTCGTTCTTGTCTGCACTATCTGTTCTGACTGATGTGCTGCTACCAGCTTCCCTCCATAACTTTGAAGTGGTGGTGAAATCACGGACTTTCCACCAAAACAATCAATGCAGAGGACCGCCGTCGTTGTATANGCTGCTACCAGCTTCCCTCCATAACTTTGAAGTGGTGGTGAAATCACGGACTTTCCACCAAAACAATCAATGCAGAGGACCGCCGTCGTTGTATAGACCTCGTGTTCTATCAGCGAGGAGTATCCACGGCCCTCGTTCTTGTCTGCGCTATCTGTTCTGACTGATGCGCTGCTACCAGCTTCCCTCCATAACTTTGAAGTGGTGGTGAAATCACGGACTTTCCACCAAAACAATCAATGCAGAGGACGGCCGTCGTTGTCGCTAGCACTCACACTTTTCTTGGAATCGCTTTCTACCACCCAGAACAGGGCCTCGCATTCTCCCAAACCACGTCTCGGCCAATACCAACGTCCGAAAGACTCGGAAACGGTGCGCTCTTCTCACATTCGCGCGGGTTGACGGTGCGCACGTCCGATCCGGGCCCATCATGCATTAAGGATTCACCGCCCGCAGCCGGCAGACGCCACCCGCTGCCGCCCAACTAAACTACAAAGCGCATGTGTGTCCCAGCCCCGGCATAGCCAGGCTGCAGCTTTGCACAGCGGGCCCTGCTGACGTTACCTGCCCAGCCAGGCTGCAGAAACGATGACAGGCCCCCTGAAAATACTTTCTGAGTCGTTTTTGCAGCCTGGCTGGGCCGGGAAAGCCAGCAGGGCCCGCTGTGCAAAAATGGCAGGAAAGTGATATATCAGCCCAGACGGGTGGGAAACTTGGGAAAGTCATCTACCGGCCCAGCCCGGGTGCAAGAAGGACAAAGTTTTTTTGGGGACCTCCCGCATGGCGCGTCCCTTTTGGGGTGGAAATATGACAAAGGTTTTGCCATGGGGGGGATCAACAACTTTTCCGAAAACTCCCCGAGACGAAACCTTTGTATAGGTTCCCCCCAAACGGCGAAAAAGGTGCCGCAGGCCCCAAAATCACTTTCCGCGTCATTTTTCCACCCTGCAAAACACTTTCCCTCCATTTTTTCACAGCGGCCGACGGCCATTGCCGGCCCAGCCAGGGTGCAAAAATGACACCGAAAAAAGTGGTTTTGGGACCTGCGGCACTTTTTTTCTCGTTTGGGGGGAAGTGGATACAAAAGTTTCGTCGCGTGGAGGTTTTACGACTTTTCTCCTTCTTCTTCCTATTCTTGGCCTTCTCCTCTTCCTCCTCTTCCTCCTCCTCCTCCTCCTCCTCCCCTCTTTCCAAGGGGTAAAGTATTGCTTGCTTGCATTGCAGTCCTTGCTGTCTTCGCCTCTTGGTTTTCAAGCTAGAAGAGGAGCTGTTGCTGTATGCAATGTGGTATTGAATGGACACACATCAGAGTAGGAGACTGATGAGTCTCTCGAACTCTAGCTTCAGAGGGTTCCGTGGAACAAGCAAAGGGAAAGTGAGATATCGTTATCTGTCGCAGTACAATAGTGATTACGTTGTATTATGCTTCTGGGGGAATATAATAGTGTCACCACACAAGTCAGGCCATCCAGATCCTATTCTGCAAAATATGCCGACAGATCCACAAGCAACAATCTTGGTAAAGTCTCACCCGTGGCTACTTTGTTTGTGCCATTTCCTATTTCAGGCCAGAGATCTCTACAAAACCACTCAAGAAGGACTTGTGAAGACCAGTCAGTTCCTTCCAGTTCAGACAAAGAAGGCTTCATAAAATACCATAATGGAGACTATTCGAAGCCTGCACTTGTTTCTCCGGCTGGCAGTTCTGGGTTTGATCGCTCTTACTGCAGCAGTCAGCGTGTCCGCTGGTTGTATTGGTGATGGATACTGCGGATACGGAGGGAAGTGTTGCGCTGGGAAATGCCTAACGGTCAGCTGCTGCTCAAACACGGACTGCGGCTATGGAAAGGTGTGCAAGGGCGGTCAGTGCGTGGAGGACAAGTGCTACAG